ATTGCCTGTTTTATACATTTTCCTGGATATTTCAGAAAGCCTCAAACTGAAAATGGACAGAAGTATAAAAGATCCTAATCATTTGTGAATTCCCTGCATTTACTAATTTGCCTCCTGGCTAAACTTTATTTGTGATCCCAAATTCAGTATTTGCAGTGCAGACATGCTTAGATTGGTGAAAGATTTTAGTCGCCACATGCATGCATAGGAGGTCAAAAAGGAAATTGTAAACATGGGTCCTTCTTTTGGACTGTTTTGTGCCACAGTTTTTTCACATTTTACGCTTTTTGTTGGTTACTTCACTGCTTAGAATGGCCCCCAAGCATAGTGCTGAAGGGGTGTCTGGCTTTCCTAAGTGCAGCAAGGCTGTGATGTGTCTTACAGAGAAAAGACGAGCGTTAGATAAGCTTCGTTCAGGTATAAATTCTAGTCCTATTGGTTGTGAGTTCAAAGTTAATTAAGTAATGGTTATATTAAATAAGTTGTCTTTAAGTTAAACCAAAACACATATAAAACATGGTTATGTATCGATCAGTTGATGAAAATGTTTGATCAGAAACTCATAGGAACCTAAGCTTGTGTTTCCCCAATGATTCGGTATTTGCTAATTCAGTGTTAGTGGTGACGTTAGGACAAATTTCCAGTGAATAATGAGAATTGACAGTATTTGTTTTGTAATTCCCATGAATTACATTGCATTCTCACCAGAAAGCATCAGTGACCTAGCAAGTAGGGACCAACATTATATAAAATCAAATCCACAAATAAGTGCTACAGCACAAAGCTTTATCTATTTAGGTTATTTGTTGCTGTGTGAATCATATTTACTTCAGGTTTCCTTCCTCTTACTGACAATTTCCTTAGAAGCTCTTTACATATGCAGAAATGTCTTTAAAACATACACACACACACACACACACACACACACACACACACGACCAGAAAACTAGTCTCTAGTGCAGGGGTGGGGAACCTTTTTTCTGCCATGGGCCTTTTGGATATTTATAACATCATTCACGGGCCATACAAAATTATCAACTTAAAAATTAGCTATGAAAAAAGCTCCTCGATTTACTGAATTTTGAGTCCTGCCTGTGGTTGCCTTAGCAGGGCCAGGCCAAAGGATTTCGGCCGGCTATTCCCCACCCCTGACTTAAAGGGAGCACTTTACAGCTTCTCTGTGACATATCAGAATGGGCACATCACTATTCTTGCACTTTGGGGCCATTATTCACTAAAATAGGGCTACTTGAACACAAGCACTGCGATACCTGGACAGTCAATCCAGTAACAAGACAGACACTAAGTGACTCGCAGGTGGGGACCATATACAGCGTCGATGCGCTGGACAAAGGGACGGTTCACATCTGAGCGAGATGGAGCAGGACCGGGCGAGATTTCGTCACGCGGCTCAGAACAGTGTGCAACTTAAAACTTATGAATTGTTGATTTCTGGAATTTTTCATTGAATATTTTTGGACCTTGGTTGACTGCAGGTAACTGAAACCGTGGAGAGCAAAACCACGGGTAAGGGAGGACTACTGTACAACTGGAAAGGGGTGACGCTCAGGGACTCAAAACAGGTCTGCCTCATTTATGCACCCAAACATTTCCCAGCTCCTACAGCATCCCCTAATCCCCACCACACAGCAGACCCTTGGTAATGAATACAGTAATTAATAACTTCTCAGAGGGTAGTTGAGCTTGTTTTTAAATTCCTGTAGTCAAATAAGTTGGGAGAATGTTACAAGAAGATTAGTTTGGGAAATAATGGCGCGTCATTTATTATCAGCCGAGAACATTCAGAATTGTCATTCGTAAGAACTAAGCTCATTATTAATAGAAGATTGCTTTTCTTGACTTTATGTGACTGTTTTCTTAAATTAAAAATAAACCTTTTTTCTTATTGTGAAAGCAGTACATGTTCATCTAATACAAATTGGAAAATAAAGATAAGCCAATAATACAAAATTAAACACACTTATAATCCCTCCACCCAGATATAACTGCTGTAAATGCCCATTAGTCTTTCTGTGCTTTTATACAGATTTTTAAAAGTCATAGCATACTCTCTCTTTCACCTTACAAACATCTGGTCCACAGCACTCCACGTCAATACATTTGCCATCACTACATCCATTTTTATATCTATTTATCAAGGTGAATACTTTTGTTTTTAAACCACATTTGTTTACTCAGAAGTCACCGACCCACAGATAAGGAAACATCTGAAGAACCCAGGTGTGGCAGCGTAGAGAGGTTGAGGAATTCAAAACAAAGTGCAAAATATAAAAACAATTACAACCAGTTTGACAGTTGTGCGTCTGTTTCCTACGGCCCTTCTGCCCACAAGTCTACAGCTGACTTCAAAGAGAAGTCAGCACGGAGGGGGTCCAGAGGCTTAGGTGCAGAACCAGAATCAGCCCCACGATAAGAGATTAAAGGAAGGTTGATCAAAGACCCAGTAAAAGTACTAGCCCATGGCTTGCCCTGGCCCATGGCCCCCAAATATTCATCAGAATAGAGGGCTGTCTTTGAAGTGTTTGGAAGCTCCCATGCCCAGGTGAGCTCTCCGGTCAAAGGGAAATTTTCAAAAGGGGCACAGGAAGGAGTTTGCAGAGTTGCCTCTCCCTGTCTCTTGTCTGTGTATCCCTCACAAATTGTTCAAATGCTGCTTCTTCAATTTGTTGTCAAGATGTAAGTAGTTTAACTGTACTGGGCATGAAGTGAGGGCTTCGGCCTCAGAGGAGAAGGCGCACCTCTGTTCCTTGTGGGAAGTAACACAAGCGTGCATGCGGCAGTGGGTTCCAACTCACGAGCATAATAGATCTACAACCACCACTCCTCCTTTCTGTTCAGGGTGTTTAAAAGGGCATGTGTTATTTCCAAATAAGCAATAAGACTTGTTCGTTCTACCCATTCCTTGCTTGTTCACTGCTCTCCCAACTGGGAGTTTATTGCTCTTTGTGGCGTTAGGACATAAACCATCCATTTCCCCAGAGAAGGGAAGGAAATAGAAGTGCTCCCCAAGTGGCAGTAGCCTTCACAACATTCAGGTTAGATTTTTTTTAAAGTGTTTTGAAAGACAAGAGTTACATAAAATTGCTAAAAGTGTATGCTTAGAACATCTTTAGTTCTCATCGATGTTCCTACCTTTCTCTCTCTCCCACTCTCCTGAAATATCAATGGCAAAAAATATCCTTGGGTGGAGATCAAAAAAAAATTTGCAGAGAGGAGGGGAAAGTGAAGGTGGAGACTTTTGATTGGCCCTGTGAAGATTTTGAGGCCAAGTTCAGGGGTTATAATTTAACCTAGGCCATGTGAAGCCACTGACATATCTGAGCAAGGGAGTGGCTGGTGCAAAAGGGTATTTGGGGAATTTTAATCTTCGAAATGTGTGGAATGTATAAATGTAGGGAGGTAGTACTAGCAAGATGAGTAGTTGGGTGACTTCTAGAAAATAGAGAGTGAAGATGTAAACTAGGTTGGCATTGATCATGGAAAGAGTATAGAAAAGAGAGAGTTGTTGGGAGAAATAGAGTTTTACCCAAGGTTTCAGACCTGGGAGACCATGAAAACAATTGTTCTATCAAAGTCTGAAGTCCAGGGAGAACTGCTTTGGAGGCAACCCAGAGAGTTGGAGCCTGAGATGGCAGCCAAGCCAACAGGTCCATGAGATGGTGAGAAGTGGGGGCTCGAGGCTCAGCTGGAAAACAGATTTACCCTTCCAAGTTGAAAAATACCACACAGCACAGCAATTGTGTGAAGTTTTTAATGAAATAATTTATTGAGTCAGACAGCGAAGTATTTTCAGAAGCTCATTTGAGAACTTATACTCTCTTGATACAGATGAATTCTGAATTGCTCTCTTGTTTTCTTTGCAAAATAGTTCACCTTGTCCGAGAAAGTACGTGGGGGGAGCGGTGGGAAGGTTTTTCTCAACATTCCGGGTGTAGAGACTGGGCATCGGGCCTCCTGTAGGTCAGAGTCTCATTACCCGTCAGTGATAATAGTTCATGTTCTATGTATCTTTCTATCCATCCTCCATCAGGCACAAGGCAGAGTCTTGTGCATTGTAAGTACTCGGTGCCGGTTGATTTGCATCTCCATCGGAGTTCTTAGAGGTAAAAGAGTGGACATAAAAAAAGCTAACAAAAGCCAGCAGCCAATTTCATAATGACAGGCTTTACATAAACAAATGCAAGTGTGATGTCGAATTTGCATTGCAAAAATTTTGTGAGGAAGGTTCAAGAAGTAACAAATGTAGCTTCAGATCTTTACTCAAATGATGAAACCCATTAAATCCCTCATCCCTTGGCATTTGAGAGACATTCAAAAGTCATGGCAGCTTGAAGAGCAGAGTCAGTAGTTAAAATTGTCAGAATGAAGAGAGACTTTCTGTGAACCCCGAGCCCAGGACAGCCAAAGCAGACCTACGTACACTTTTTTCTCTGAGATAGGAACTAGCGAGAACCTAAGTTATTGGGGGG